TAAACCCATAAAACATAACAAGAAACCAAGGTATCACCTTCATACCTTAAATGAGCTGGAAATAAAGCCAAGAGTTTGGATCTATAAGTGTTCCTTTGAACAAGAAGCTAACACCAAACACCCTTTCCTTGAAAATGAGAAAAAACCCATCAAAATACACACTTAGATCTCTCAAACACTCAATGAGAGGTTAGGGTTTCCGAAATGAGGCTAGAAGCCAATGCAGGCTAAGAAATCAAAGAGTTGTGAGCTTATAAGGATGCTTAAATAGTGCCCAAACACTAAAAATTACAGTTTGTCACTCTGCTCATTATGTTAGGTGTAGCCCATCTTACACTGGGCGTACTCACCTGGGCACGCGCCACTTACCATACACACATGGGACCAATTTGCCATTCTTTTCCATTAGGGGCCATTTCTGCCAATAATTCAAATTTCCATAACTAGCTCATCTTAGGTTCGTTTCCAACGAACCTTATATCCACCGAAAGGTGTCAGGAAGCACTACAGTCCTAAAAACTCACCATAGCCTTAAAACTTCACGAACAAAACCTAAAAATTCATAAAAGGCAGAGATATCAAATTATGACTATACCCTTGGGTTCTGAAAACACCATCGAACACTTGGATCACTTAAACCGTAACACCCACATCCAAAAAGGGCCAAATCCTTTCTTCCCCAAGGCCCTAAACCTCATGACAACTGATGATTGGGCTACAACCCTGAATAATGAAGCAATTTTGAAACTAAGTGCTACAACTCTCCCCCGCTTAAATTAGATTTCGCCCTCAAAATCCCTCCTTACTAACACTCAAATCATACCAAACAACCTGAGGAACCCAACCGAAAATTCTTAGCATAAAACGACCATCCCAAGACAACCGAACCCAAACAGAAACCTTCAACCCGAAGAAGAACAAACCCTTAGCCCCAGTAGAAAATCACTTCTACCTTTCTGAAACCTAAAATCTACATTGGTGTGACTCCCCGACAGACTGCCCATGCTGAATCATTACCATGCCAATTCCTCATCAAATAACAGACCAAAACATAAAACTTCCAACCCTGATTATCTTGATGTTACCAATGGAAACAAAGTCACTAACCATAAAAGGTTGAAGAACACTTGACAGAAGGATCAGATAATCTTTTGAGTAGAAGATTCATCCCTACAATGGTTAGACTCAAACGAGAGCTGCAAACCAGTTTCAAATCAATTACTCTAAGATTATTTAATTCAAACTGAAAATCACTTAGCATTTCACGAACAACACGCTACTTCACACACTCGGATCCAAAATCACTAACATTGCCTGAAGCATCACGCTGGTTCCCAAAAGCAGCTGAGACCTCCCTAGTCCCAGCTTGTCTGCCAACTATCTGAAATACCATATTTTTGTGTGGTTGCTGAGTCAAAAGACACCCCCACAGTCGGCCCACGTGACTTCTAAAAGAAAGCCTCAAGTGGCAAAAATTACCCAAACCATCTCATCACTAAACCCAATCCTAAACTGAATGCTACAAGACCAACTGTAGTCTTACATCATACCCGGTCTCTAACAACCAACCATTTTCTTATTACAATCATGTTGTAGCCCTCCCACGACTTTGCGAACTCGCCCACCCTGGCCTAAACCATCTGAAAACTCCATGAGAAAATCATAGATTTGCCACGCTCTCACCATTGCACAGGGACCAATGAATGCTACAGGTCACCCCAAAGTCTTACAACACTCCACACTAACTATCCACTAGTGAATGCTATGGGCCACCCTACAGTCTTACCACACTTCTACACTAGCTTCCAATTATTGAACGCTACGGACTACCTCGCAGTCTTACAACCCTTCCACTTTTCCATAGTCTCCACCTATGATCTTACCGCAAATCTATCAATTCGAACACATGCAAAGTCAAACATGCACTCAACCAAACACCCAAGCTGAAATCGAGTCATGATTGGAACCCCAACCTGGGTCCAACAATGCGAGCTATCTAACACCAAGAAGGCGTAAACCAAATGTGGGAAGTCTCCTGAACTCCCAACTCACACAATCCTCAATCCAGTTGGCCACTTTGTTTGCCTTTCTGCTTAACAGGGATGCGAA